CCAGGGTGAGGGGTCGGGGCCCCGGGGAGGGGGCTGCGGGGGTGCAGGCTGGGATGGGGCTGGCCAGGGGCTGCAAAACCCAGCGGGACACTGTGCCGTCCTTGCTTGGGGTTCTCCAGTGTCATTCTTCCACGTTCCTCCATCCTTTGATGTGACACACAGGAGGGTGGACCCTGTCCTGCGCTCGTGTGTCCTAATGGACTATGTGGGGCCCGGGATGGGAGGTTTTAGGGGGGGGACCTCTGTGGTCGTTCCCCAACGTGCCCCAGGAGAGAAGTTGGGAGCCTGCTGGGATGTGGACGGAGGGTGGAGCGCAGCCCACCGAGGAGGTGCTTTGGCGCCCATCCTGGTGTGAGGAAGAGCCGAGTGTCACTGCAGCGAAGCGGGGAGCCCACCTGTGTGTTGGTTGGGTAGAGGCAGCACTTTTCTCCTGCCCATGTGGGCTGGGGGCTTCTCTGGCCAGGAGACGGGCTCTGCAGAGGCGCTCAGGCCCGTGGCTTCTTCCCCATCTCCTGGGCAGCAGCCGCCTCCTCCGGGAGGGCAGGGGGCCAGGGGGGGGGCTGGCTCTGAGGCGCTGCACCTCACGCGAGCTGGTGGGAAGCTCATCGTAGCGATGCTGGGCAGGGGGAGGTTTGAGCCGGGCTCAGCACCGCTCGGTCTGCCCTCAGCATCGCCACCGCTGTGTTTGCAGGACTGGGGATCTGCACGGCGTTCCTGTGTGTGACCTGGTCTCTGCTGGACTACCACCAGTCCCTGCGCTCCTTCTTGCAGGACAAGTACGAGCTGAGCCTGGGCTCCTCCGTCGTCTACTTCCTGTGGAACCTCTTCCTCATCTGCCCCCGCATCCTCACGGTCGCCCTCTTTGCCCTGCTCTGGCCCTACGGCGTGGCCATCCATGTCCTGCTGGTCTGGCTGGCGATGTTCCTCTGGGTCAGCCTCCAGGGCACGGACTTCATGGAGTCGCCCGGCCCCGAGCAGCTCTACCGGGCCATGGTGGCTGTGATCCTCTACTTCAGCTGGTTCAACGTGGCGCAGGGGAGGACGCTGTACCGCAGCATCATCTATCACTCCTTCATCCTCGTGGACAGCACGCTGCTGGCGGTGTCCTGGCTCTGGTGCCGGTACCCCTCTGAGGAGCACTCGTACCTCGTCCCCGTGGTCTCTGCCGCGCTGCCCTGCTACCTGCTGGGGCTGGCGCTGAGGGTCGCCTACTACCAGTGGCTGCACCCC